GCTCAATGGGTGACAAAACTGTTGTGCACAGATAAGCTTCAGACAAGAGCAGAGATTTCAGTGGGAATTTTAAATAAGTGGGATCAAGATCTTGATCTTGAGGCATTTCTTTGGAGAAGTAGGAGATGAAATATGGCTTTACTAGTACCGTCTTGAAGACAAAGCACAATCAAAGCCATGGCTACTGAGAGGTGGAAGTGGTCCAGTCAAGGCAAAAGCAGCTCAGTCAAGAGCAAAGGTCATGGCAACAGTTTTTTTGGATACTCAATGCATTTTGCTTGTTGACTTTCTGGAGGGCCAAAGAATGATAACATCTGCTTATTATGAGAGCGTTTGCAGAATGTTAGCCAAAGAGATGGGAAATCATTAGGCATCCATATTACAGTCCTGATTTGACTCCTTCTGACTTCTTTTTGCTTCCTAATCTTAAAAAATCTTCAAAAGGCACCCAGTTTTCTTCAACTAATAATGTAAAAAAGGCTGCCTTGACATAGGTAAGTTCCTAGGACCCTCAATTCTTTAGGGATGAACTAAATGGCTGACATAATTGCTTACAAAACGTCTGGAACTTGATGGAGCTTATGTTGAGAAATAAAGTTTATATTTTATATTTTTATCTTTTAATTCCATCTTTCCACAAACTTTTTGAAGTCCTTTTGTACGTATCAGTGCAGGTATTCCACTAGGGGGAAAAATGTAATGGAACCTTTAGAGGTTTTTGGGTTCTACTCGCACGTAAGTTCTATGTAAGTTAAAAGAGGATGATGATAGTAGTACCTACTTCACAGAATTTCGAGGATTATATGAGAGAACTTCAGAAGTTTGTGGAAAAAGAGAACTTGAAAGGTAATATGAGGCCGGCCCGTGGCTCACTCGGTAGAGTGCGGTGCTGATAACACCAAGGCCACGGGTTCGGATCCTATATAGGGATGGCCGGTTTGCTCACTGGCTGAGCGTGGTGCTGACAACACCAGGCCAAGGGTTGAGATCCCCTTACCGGTCATCCTTTAAAAAAAAAAAAAAAGAAAGGTAATATGAATCTTTTCATGAACTTTATGAAGTACTCTCGTACATGAGATACTGTAAGTACAACGTTTTGCACAGTGCTAGACACACAGTAAGCAGCTTTACATAATTTTTTAGCTGTTACTATTTATGCATTACCAGGGCATTCCTGTCATCTACTCTGAAAAAAGTCAAGAGAAATAAAATAATCTTATTATGGACATAGGTCAAAATGTCAAAATGATAAATTTTGCTGTAATAGAGGACTAATAAGCTATTATTATTGTTTACATTTATTTCTCAGCTATAGGTGTCTTAATAAATAGTAACCAACGATGTGTCAAGATGTTTTGGAATCAGGAAAAAAATAAATAAAAACAAAACCCCACAGGCTTAGGTGTCTAATGGATCATGGTTTGAATCACAGCACCTGCACTTGACTTCTCTTTCCCACAGCTCCCACATCAGTGAAATGGGCATAATGACGTGTGTAGACAATACCGTCGTAAGGAGCAGATCAGATGAGGCTGAGACGTGCTCAGGACAGTGCTTGGAAAATCCTGGTTATGTGACATTGAGTAAATTCCTTAATCCTCTGGAAGTTTCCTTCTCCTTATTTGTAAGAGGAGGTTAATATGCACTTCTCAGAGTTGTTTTAAGAAACAAGTGAGATAGAATCTGGAACAAGGGAAATGTGGTTCCCCTTCTCCCTATTCCAACTCTGAGTTACTTTCCTCTTCTGGCCCAAGTGATTCTTTGGACCCACAGACTTCTTAGTAGGTGAGGGCTTGAGTGTAGCTGGGGATCTGATACAGGGCTTTCAACTCTGTGGGCTCGACCAGAACCTGGGCCAGGACCCCTAAGGACAGTGCATCTTGGAGTGAGCCTGAAGCTCTGAGATCTATGCGTGTCAATACAAGGAAATGAAACAAAGAGATGTTTAGAGAATTGAGATGATGTACATAAAGCCATAAACAGCCCTGTCCATGCAGACAGCCCTGTCCATGCTGACAGCCCTGTCCATGCAGATAGCCCTCAAAAAAAGATAAAACTATTACCTTGACCAGGATTGAGGGTTGAGTAACTACAGATGAGGAGAAAGAAGCCATTGTATATCGCCTCAAAAAAAATTTTTTCTACTCTAAATATTCTATTATTCCAGACTTACATTTTTTCCAAATTTGAGAACCATTTTTTCAGCATTTATGTGGTCGAGAAAGTTAGGATGATTCCTTCTTCTTCGATACTCCTCTTCAGTAAATGGAACCTCAGTATCATCCTATAAGAGAGAAAAGAAGTAGATGTGGTGTATTAGACATATATAAAACTTCTAAGCCCAAAGATGTGTTCCTGTAAGCTCAAATAAAACAAATCTACTGCTTATTTTAAAAGTGATTTAATTTTTTTAAAAATGCCTTAGCTAACCAAATTTATTTTATTTTATTTTTGTTTTTGGGGGAGGGCTGGCCAGTGCCAGGATCGAACTCTGGACCTTGGTGTTATCACCACCATGCTGTACCAACTGAGCTAACCAACCAGCCCCAAATTTTACAGTTTAAACTTAATCTAAACAAAATTAAAAATTTATTCTATTTTATTTATTTATTTCAACTTGAAAGTAGTGTTTATTAACTGACCAGAGCACAAAACAATCATGGCAGACACCTCAGTTCATCCCTCT